GAATCATTAATTGAAAATCGGGCTTGAATATGTAAATTACAAAAAAAATCTATAAATTGATGGATTTAGCCTTTAATACGTGGTAGGAAATCATAATGAAGAAAAGAGAATTGAAACTTTCTGTTTTTTACCATTTTTATTTATAACTAACTTTACTGCAGTTTCGTCCTATAAGGATATTTTCAAAATTATACATTAAACTTTAATATATATGTATATATTAAATACATGTATATGTTTGAAAAAAAATCCTCAAAACATATCTAGGGGAAATCTTCTTGGAAATTAAACCACGATGCATAGAATATGGGAAGGAAACTGACTTTTTTATTTAAAATTCTCATTTTATATCCCGGATATCATTGATATGTAAAATTTTACGATAAAAAATATAATCATGTTGTCAAGTGACCCCTGAAGATCAATCGTGGTTATAACATATTTGTTCAAATAAAAGTTGGAGAATAAGGAGTGGTTTTAATCTTGGGTCAAGGTTATAGCTAACGTAAAGGCCGAGCAACTTTTTTTGAACCAGAACTTCTATTTTAGGCTCAGAAATCGTTAGAGCATCACATTCCATTTGAAAAAATGTAATTATGATCAAAATGTTGTGCGAAAGTCATTTGAAGATCAGTAAAATATTTTGTTTCAGTCCAGGAGAACTTATGGTGAGTTGACTACTTTTTTCCAAAATGTCTAATGAATATTTCATGACGTTCAGATGACTTCCAGGACCCAAATACCAACTCTATTGAGGGGATCTGAAGTCGAAGTTTCTGTTTGAAAAAAAATTGTTCGATTTCATGATGTGAAGATCAAATCCAAGGCAACCAAATTTTCTATCTGAAATTTTTGCCAGAATCGTTTTTCACTTTTGGCTTCCCTTATGAAATATTTTGGATAATGAACTACAAGGTCTATCAGTCATATGTGATATGTTCCACTTTTGGTAACCAGCCGTTGCCCATCTTTACACTTGGGCTACAACACACTGATGATGCCTTTTTTGGGTGTTATATCCGCAAGATTTCCTCTTTTTGGTTTAGATCAAACACACTCGTTAATATCTGAGTATGTATATTACACAGGTAGACCAAATTTCTCTCTGTATATTTTTGCTGACTTCATACTATTTTTGAATTGTCACGTGAGAAAATAAACTCTACTCTAATAAACTCTTCAGGGTGCTTTGGACTACGCCGACGAACGCAGCGGTTCGGGCAGCTCTTCCGGTTCAGTAACGGGACTGTGCAATCACTCCAGCGAAGGTGCTGGACCGGGCGCCCTTATCTTCCTTCATGCCGGAACGTACCGTGGAGAGTTCCTCGTCATCGATTCCGACATATCTTTGATAGGTAGGTCTTGGCAGTTGTCATCAAGAATCGCTTTGACGAGCCTTCTGTTGCAGGTGCGGCCCCTGGAAACGTAGCAGAGTCCGTCATCCTGGAGAGAGAGTCCGAATCGACGGTCATGTTCGTCGAAGGTGCCAAGAACGCGTACGCGGGGCACCTGACTTTGAAGTTTTCGCCGGACGTCACTTCGACGGTACCGCATCACAAGCATTATTGTTTAGAGGTAGGAGAGAACTGCAGTCCGACTATAGATCATTGCATTATTCGGAGTACTTCTGTAGGTGAGTGAATTTGATATTAATTTTCATTTTCGTACCTTTAAGAGAAGTATACTAGTGTCGTTTGAACTGAGCCAGAAATATTAAAAATTTCAGGTAAATTATATCTTCTTATAATATTTTTGACATTTCAGTCGGCGCAGCTGTATGTGTGAGTGGAGTGAGCGCCAACCCCATAATTCGTCACTGTGATATAAGCGATTGCGAGAATGTAGGCCTTTACGTAACCGACTACGCCCAAGGCACTTACGAGGACAACGAGATCAGCCGGAACGCCTTGGCCGGAATTTGGGTGAAGAATTACGCGAACCCAATCATGCGTCGAAACCACATACATCACGGCAGGGACGTGGGAATTTTTACATTCGATAATGGATTGGTACGTACTTTATTTATTAATTTGTGTTTGAAATCCATTTCACTATAGATAGCAGATGGCGCAGTGGACATCCTACTGAATACACTGCAGATAGAGCTCATGACTAGTTGGAATTGATTTGTTTGTTTGGGATACTCACTCCGTCTGAAATGACCTGCCCGGTACTGATGAAGAGCAAGTACTCCAAAAACGGAGTACTTGCTCAATTTCTGCTTTTCATAAATAAGAAATTATTTGCTACAAATCTTCCAAATGGAAGGCGTTACACAGGTGTCTGATAATTTTACTTATTTATTTATTTTTTTTTATATACACGGGCAAGCCCAATTCAGATGTAAGTAGTACAGTGATAGGTAGTACTTGATGAAATACACTGGATTAAAAGTAAATTATAAGAATAATACAATTTCGAAGATAACAAGTAGATTATTTAAAAAAAAAGTAAAATGTATAACAATATAAATTAATAGAATTCTTACAGGCAAGTAACACTAGACACAATACAACAACACAAGCAGAGAGTATTAGATGGNTAATATGCTAAGCGAGAAAATATTGGTTATCGAGTGAATCAGGAGACAAAAATATCATCAAAATACTCCTGAACTGAGTAATAGACCCCATCAACCAGAAGCCTTTTGACCTCTTTTCTGAATTTAATGTAAGCATTGATTTCTTTTATTTTAGCTGGCAGATGATTAATCAGTTTGATTCCATTGAAATTAATCAAGTCTCTAACTAGTGAGCTCGTGGGAGGGGGCAGCTCAATATTCCTAATGTGATTTCTGGTGTTGTGAGGAGGAGTGTGATTCACCCTAGACAAATGGTGTTTCTTTATTGAACAGATTGTTTCCAAAATGTATATGGATGGTACAGTTAAAATACTGTGAGCTTTCAAAAGAGGTTTGCAAGTATCTAATATGTGAATCTATAAGAGCAAAATAGGCTGTTCTTGAATGGGCATAGCCTAATTCAGTCGAGATGACTCTAAGCGTGTAGCAGCCTGAGGCAAGCTTTTTGCTTAGGTTTATTGTAAGGTCTTTGAACTTCAATTTATCATCTATATTCAGCCTAAGAAATTTATAAGTATGTATACTTTCTAAGATTTCGTTACCAAGGCAGATCTCAGGTAAAGTGTAGCGAATAGTAAGGATGCTGGTTTTTTTGATGTTGAAAGATAATTTATTACAGTCACACCATTCTTTAATTTTTTTTATACAAAGAAGTTATACATTACTTTCATGATTGTAACAATAGTTACTAAGCGTGATCATTGGTTCCAGGGTTACTTCGAAGCGAACGACATCCACAACAACCGCATAGCCGGCTTCGAGGTGAAAGCTGGTGCGAACCCAACTGTCGTCCACTGCGAAATCCACCACGGCCAGACGGGCGGTATCTACGTCCACGAGAATGGCCTCGGTCAATTCATCGACAACAAGATCCACTCAAACAACTTCGCCGGCGTGTGGATCACTTCTAACAGCAACCCGACGATACGCCGCAATGAGATCTACAACGGACACCAGGGAGGAGTCTATATTTTCGGCGAGGGCAGGGGTCTCATCGAGCATAACAACATCTATGGCAACGCCCTGGCCGGTATTCAGATACGAACGAACAGCGATCCGATTGTAAGGCACAACAAGATCCATCATGGCCAGCACGGAGGGATTTATGTGCACGAGAAGGGTCAGGGGCTGATTGAAGAGAACGAGGTGTATGCCAACACGTTGGCAGGAGTGTGGATCACGACGGGCAGCACCCCTGTGTTGAGAAGGAACAGGATCCACTCAGGGAAGCAGGTCGGCGTGTATTTCTACGACAACGGTCATGGTGAGATGGTTTCTTTGTTCTTTCTTTGGAAGTTACTCCTTGTTTTTTCCATTTAGAGTTACACTCATATTGGTCTTATTCATTATTTCATATAAACTATTTAAAATTTTGAAGTCATCTAGAGGTGATCTAACAGGTCTTCCAACAGAGATTTCCGACATCTTGATAACGGCCATCTTGTTTGAGCTACATCTGAATATTACTGGAGTTTCTTCCTAACACCAAATTGTTATTTTTAACACCTCAACACGTGTTTCGATCACCAAGTGATCATCTTCAAGAGGAAGTTTAATCTTCCTCTTTTATCCTCAATCAATCAATCAATGTACTTTATTGTCTAAGAGAAAAGACTCTTGTTGACAAAGCATGGTTTACATGTACAATACAATAGTATATGCCTATTAATTTGTCAGTGATTTATATAAAATGGTTAAAATTTGCAGATATAAACAATAGATAATACATATATCTTTGGTCTAGTTGTAAAAAGAACAAAAAATAAAAATATTTTTGGTAGCGGTAGGGGTAAATCGTCTTTTTGACGAGTATTATATGGTCTTACAATTGTCATATTGGATTTTTTCTTATGCATCAAGCACACTGTCTCAAGGATAAAAATACTGTATAGGATCAGAATTCCATGTTTTATAAAAAGTGGTTTACAGTGATCCCTGGATTTAGCTTTTGATAAATATCTGACAGCTCTGTTTTGTAAGACAAATACTGAGCTCTTCAGCTGATAACAGCAAAAACCCCAGAACGAAATGCCATACATTAAGTGTGATTCAATGATAGAAAAGTAAGCCATTCTGCCAGCCTTTGTTCCGAGTTCCGTAGTGATAACTCTGAAAGCATAGCAGCCAGAGGCTAGGTTTTTGTTTATGGTCATCAAATCGTAATTTATCATCAATGTATATACCTAAGAATTTTATGCTGGTATTGTTATTTATGATTTGTTCATTCAAGGTCAGATTTTGGTTTTATTTCCTTTGAAGCAAAGATAGTTTGAATCACACCAGGTTTTAACTTTCTGTAAGTCTAGAAAGATACGCTCTTCCAGAATTTCTATATCATTTTTCAAAGACTCTTCAATTCATTTTTTATCTGGTTTAGTTCGATTTTTATTACATAAAATACTAAATCAACCTTGAGTTCACCTTAGCTTCAAGAAGAAAATATTTTCGGATTTTCGCTTGACTTTTCAACTCATGACGAATAAAAACTCCTAAGAAATCCCATCTCCTCAGCCAAATAAACCGTCGGAACATCTCTAACGTTCTTTTCCGCAGGCAAACTGGAAGACAACGATATCTTCAATCACCTATATTCGGGCGTGCAGATCCGGACAGGCAGCAACCCGGTAATCAGGGGCAATAAGATATGGGGCGGCCAAAATGGCGGCGTTCTGGTGTACAACGGTGGGCTGGGTCTGTTGGAGCAGAACGAGATATTCGACAACGCCATGGCGGGCGTCTGGATCAAGACCGATTCGAATCCGACGTTGAAGAGGAACAAAATCTTCGACGGGCGAGACGGCGGGATTTGCATATTCAACGGGGGAAAGGTGAGTAGATTTAGCACAGTGATTCACCAGATACTTTAGAGCGCCAAAGTTATGAAACATGCCCGATTGGCTCCAAGACCAGACTGGAGTTCCAGGGGAGGGATCAACTGTAGTGAATTTATGAGATTTTACGAGGTATACCTACAGTGTATCATTGTGTTATAAGTTATATGAATGATACTTCTCATTTCTTTCACAACTGTGATGCAAGAGGCGTTTGATAACATATTTCAAATAAATGTATTGATGCCCTGTAATAGACCAATCCTGGAAGGTACAAATTCCAACAGATATAATGAAATCGAAGGTATCATAAGTTTCTGACCTAAACATATAGATAGCAGCACTCGTAAATAAAAGCCAGTGAATTTCGTTGTTCATCTGTTGTCAGTTACTCACCAAAGTTTCAGCCATTTGACAGCGCATTTGTTATGTAACAGTCGTTTGAGTGAGTTGATTTATGAGTACTTTTATGAAAATGGACAAAATCGAGTATTGAGCTGTCAGCAAATATTTGTTTATGAAAGGCAAAATGCCTACGCAAATCAAAGGTGAGCTGGATTCTGCGTATGTGGATACACCATCATATACCAAAGTTGAATTTTGGCCAGCTGAATTTGAATATGGCCGTAAGAGCTAATCTTCAAAAAGTAAAAACTATTACAGGGGAATACTATGCATCATTACTTGACAAGCTGAAAGCAGAATTTGCGGATCATACAGCCATATTTGCAGAAAAAGAAAATCCTGTCTTACACCTCAGGGGTGGCGAAAACCCACGAATTACGGTTCGAACTGGTCGACCACCGCCTCACTCACGAGATCTAGCCTGAAGCGACTTCTTTTTGTTTCCTCATCTGAAAATTGCGCTCGGAAGACAGATTTTATAAAAAAAAAATGTGAAAAAATGTTTTGTACGTTTAGATCGAAAACTTTTCAAACCACCCTCGTAAATATATCTGTATCTACAACATATAAATGTATTTTTCATGTTAGGGTACTCTACAGGTGAATTCCCTCTCTTATTATGGCTCTCTAAATTTTCTGCCAGCCCCGCGTTGGATGTCACGATAAATATTTTTCACATTTTAGGGTATATTGGAGGAAAATGACATATTCCGCAACGCCCAGGCAGGCGTTCTAATTTCGACGCAGAGTCATCCGATCTTGAGGAGGAACCGCATCTTCGATGGACTCGCTGCTGGGGTGGAGATTACCAACAACGCTACTGCGACATTAGAATTCAACCAGATATTCAATAACAGGTTCGGTGGCCTCTGTTTGGCCAGCGGCGTGCAGCCGATCGTGCGAGGCAACAAGATATTCAACAATCAGGACGCCGTCGAGAAGGCCGTTTCAAACGGCCAGTGTTTGTACAAAATATCGAGCTACACTTCGTTTCCCATGCATGATTTTTATAGGTAGGCACTTTTTGCTGCTCGAAAAGATATGATACCCACTTGTTTGTGGATTTTTTTTTGTATAATCTGCTATTTATATGAATTTTTAGGTGTCAAACTTGTAATACTACAGACAGAAATGCCATCTGCGTGAATTGCATCAAAACCTGCCATGCTGGACATGACGTGGAGTTTATCAGGCATGACAGGTAAGGACTCGTAGAATTATAATCATCTTGACCACAACATATCAATAACAACTTGATCATTATAGCATTCTCAGTTTTTTCTGAAATATATAATCGAAAAAGTTTTCGTTTATAATGGTATTCAATGTTTTAAGTGCGAATCAATTCTAAAAAATCAAGTATTATACAAGGTAGCATCTGAGACCCACTCCTGTTTATAATTCATTTTCAATTTTCATCTAAAATTGGAGATAGTTTGAAAAGTCGGTTGGAATTTAAAACTCTACCATGATTCTTAAGTTCAAAATTTTCAAAGGAAAAACTATCCATTTGAGAGAAAGCAAAGTTCATCATTTTTGCCTCTATATCATGTAGTACCACAGGGATCGGTGTTGGGACCGGTTCTGTTCTTTATATTAATAAGGTATAAAGCCCTGACGAACTGATACGAATTTTATCATATTTGCTGATGATATCAATATTATATATAAACATAGTGATTAATCCAAAATAACTGATTGATTGGTTTACTAGCAACTATATATGAACAGCAACAAAACAATACAATGCACTTCAGTCTATTAAATGATCCACCTTTCAGAAACGAAAATTCTGCTGTGAAGTTTTTGTATATATATGTTAATGGAAAGCTTGATTGGAAATATCATACTGACTTCTTAGCTAAGAAAATAACATCTGCTATGTTCATGTTTATACGTTTATGCAACATGGTAAAAAAACTGTGCTCCTAAAAGACTGTTTCTCATCCATTCAGCCAAGAATCGAATGTGCTTTATTGACATGGGATCGTGTCAGTGGGGCAAAATTATGTTGAGTATCAATATACGTGGACTGTATCACTTGTCCATCATTCAAGCGCGGTTTGGAATATTTGGTTTACAACGTAAAGCATTAAGAATTGTGGATGTTCTTACTTTGTATGTACATTATGTATTATATTTTTAATGAACGTTTGTACATTAGAGTAATCTAAATGAATAAATACTACTACATATAAAGATGAGTGCAATCAAGCTTTCGTGACCCTCTGCCTTTTGTATATATTCATATTCATATTTATTCATCACCAAAGGTTATACAAACTGTGTTGACTTACAAAATGCATAACATTTATAGGACTAGTCAGAGAAAAAAAATACACAATATATGTTCACATAATGAGAGACATAATCGTATAAATCTAAAGAGAGATAGAGTTACATAGATCATATAAAACTAAAATAAGAGAGATAGACCTACGTAGACTATATAAAGTTGAAAATCTAGAAACTCATCAATACTATAGAATGAGTTATCAATTAAAAATAGATGTCAATTTTTCTTGAAAATATTAATGTTATTATTGTCAATAAAGCTCTTTACTTTGTTAAAACATATAATTCGGTGAATTTTGGCATACTCTAAGTCTAGAATAAGGCTGGTAAAAATTTTCTCTATTTCTAGTCAAATACGAGTGAACATCACGATTTTTTTTAAACTCTATTTCATTTTCCTTTACAAACATTATTAACTGAGATATATAAAGACAAGGCAGCGTCATTATTTGAAATTGTTTAAATAGAGGTTTGCAGGTTGAACTTGGATGGGATGTATGTATGTATACATACACCAATGCCTAATATTAGCCCATAAACAGAGATATTTCTTTGTCATACAATGTAATCTGCATGGTAATGATACTATCGGATAATTATCGCCCAATTAGCATAATATCTATATTTGGGAAAGTAATTGAGATAATTTTGAAACATCGTTTTTATTCCTATTTTGAAAAACGGTTCTACTTCAACAATTCACATTATGGTTTTATCGGTGCCAATTTGTTAAAATGAGCAACGTAAAGTCAGACCTCAAAGAAATGAAGCATGGTGTTCCTCAGAGATCCGTTTTAGGTCCACTATTGTTCTTGATCTACATCAATGACCTATGCAGTCTCATGAAACCAGCAGGATGTATCTTGTTTGCAGTTGATACAACTTTAATGTGCTCTAGCAAAGACTTAACTAGCTTACTAATGATGGAAGATATCAAAACATTAGCTTACAATTGGTTTGCTGCTAACAAACTTACCTTGAATAAAGATAAAACTCAAAATATATTCGTACCTTCCAATCGCAATATTCCCCAATCTGAAAGTGTTAAGTTTTTATTGAGCTGGTCTGATCATATCAATGCTGTCTTTAGCAAACTTTCTAGTGTTTTGTTCGTTTTGAGGGGACTGAACGATGTGGTCACCTTGATTACGCTGAAAAGAGCCTACTACGGATTATTTCGCTCAGTTATTTCTTATGGTATTCTCATTCGGGGTCATTCAAGTAACTCGATAAGTGTGTTTAGGTGCCAGAAATAGGCCATAAGAATTCTAACTAAAGCAGGTTACTAAGATCATTGTCGTCCTCTTTTTATTCAACTCGGCATTATACCACTTCCGTCACTGTATGTCTATAAAGTGATCCATGAAAATGTTGACAAATTTGATTAAAAAACGAGGTCCGCAAGTTTATTGAACCTGCCTAGACATAATCTGACAATCAGTCAAAGAAATTCACTGAACTTCAAATCTTTACTTTATAAATCTTTGAAATTATAAAACAACGATAAAAATAAAAACAACAATAAAAATTAATTGGCGCTCCGGATATACGTTATTAATGACAATAGATAGATAGATAAATATGTTTATTCATCACTGAAGTTTTACAAGATACAGCATATAAACTTGTCTCCCTAAAACTTATCAGACTAGTCAGAATAAAGAATATTGAATTGAATATTGAATAAAGAATCATAATATATGGTATGTGTTTGTAAAGTTCTATTTAAGATTTTTGTTTAAAGTGGTTGGTTGAGTTTCTTATGATTTGTGTAAACAAATAATATGTATGGCACCAATAAATCTATCAATATCATCATTATTGTTTGTTGCAGATTTTTCTGCGACTGCGGTGCCGGCACTCTCACCAACCAGTGCCAGTTGCAAGGCGAGCCAACGCAAGACACTGACACGCTCTACGATTCAGCAGCCCCCATGGAATCGCACACGTTGATGGTTAACTAGAGACTGCAAGAACGCCGTATCTGTACCATTGTAATTCGTTGATTTGAAGATAGACGAGTGAGTGCGAAAACATTTTGTCGTGAATCGCCGGACTTGTTTATTTGAAATTCGGGGCGATGTTCGCGAAAACGGGTGTGCACAAATCTATGGAAAAATGCGAGATAAGGACTGTCGCAAGGAGAAGGTTTTGTCGCCAAGGTAGGTTTTCGTACTCTACGATCCTTCTACGACCTCATACTCGCAGTACCGAATGAAGTATTAGGTGTTATCTCGTGTTTTTCGAAAATGGACGGAACTTTAAAATCTATCAGTGTTTGTTGTTGTGAAAATGCTTAGCAATATTGAGAAAAAAATGTTTACGCATAGCACGACTGAGGTTACACCAATTATAGGGTTAGACAATCAACACTTGCGCTTCCATATGTATTTTCTTTTAAATATTAATTTCCTGAACCGTTGTTTATTTGCATTGTTGCGTTCTTTCGTCTGCTACAAGTGACTTGGCGAGAGAAGAAGAAGACGTCATTTTTCTTTCATTTCATAAAACTGTGACTTTTAATACTCCCAAAGAAGTATTCTGAAATTTTGACATTTTCATTGTGATATCAAATGCAAAACAAGCTCTTTACCCAAACACTAGAACTGAAATACTCTTCTCGACCCGCGTTTTACCAACTAAGAGTAACTGGAAAAAGGGTTATCACTAAATTACTTGAATTAGAAAGGTTCCAGGTCCTTCGTCACAACAGAAAGAGATAACTTACGTTGTTGGAACTACCACCAATTTTATCACATATAAAGTTGAAAATTTCTACTTGATTCTGCTCCACCTGCATTGAAATTATCTCGCAGTCGCTGGGTTCCCTTCACATTTTATTTGAATAGAAAAAACGCAACTCCTGTTAGTGTAAGTGCGGATGCTTGACACTCTTAACGATCAGTTGGTTGCTAGACGAATGCCGCGGCATTGGCAGTGCAGAACCTTAATTTTTTTACGATTGCTTTATGAACGAGCTAGAACTTGTACAGTTACTTATTGTTAGTATTTTGGATATTTTTTTCTGTTTAAGTTTATACTCTCTCATCTAGTTAATTGTTACAATATAGTTATTTTTTTAATTTTTATTTATTTTTATTTAGTGTTAGGGTGTAGCTGAAATGTTTCGTTTTGCTCAGTTTGTCCCGGATAATGAGGACTTTTTGAGGGATGGGGGGGACACGAATCGAAATTTGGTTTACCCTTTAGCAGTTTCAGCTGCGAAATTTTGCCATTTTTCAGATGTCATTGGTTGATTCCTAGCTGAAAATTTGAACGACTTCACCATTGGAAATTGTGTGATGTAGTCGTCAGTTGCAAGTGTATTTCTGGGTTTTCGTTGAAATTGGAGAAAGGGACTGTAGTATTACTATGGCCGAGTTGAAGTCTACACGTAGTATCAAATGTTATCAACAAAGTTTTTATGATCCATGATTCCTCTTCTAGGGCCTATAACAATTTTGAACAATATTATTGGCACTTCTTCTGTATGTTACCATGGTTTTCAATTTTGCTGAAAAAAAAACAATATTTTTTCTTTTTGAGATGTTTCGCAGACAAAAATCTATCATCAGAATATGTATAACAAATCTGTGGGAAAACTGTCAGCAGCAAATGATTTTGAAGGTATTCCCGGCCAAGGAAACAGAAAGGTAGCAGTTGAAAATCCCTAAAAAAGATCACAAAAATTACTTCAGAAATAAATTTATTCATTAGTCAAATTCTACTTTTTTGTAGTTAATGACAAGTCCTATGATACGTTTTTGGAATACGAGTTTTTTTTCTCAACTAGCCTTTCACTTTTTGATACCAGTCTATTTTGTATTCTTCAGGTGAATGTAAAATAAGCTCTAAAAAGTGGCAATTGTTTGTCTTTATATATGCACTGTTAAAAAATTAGTTTGAAATCAAAATATGTTTTATTACCCAAGATTTGAACATCTTTTTGGCAAAGTCTAGTAAAGTAAAACATGTATATGGGACATAAAATTAACAAATACAAGCTATAAAATAATGCTTAGAGACGAGCTTCGTATATGGACAGAACAATATTAAACCCAGCTGAACAGATACAAATATAAGTACATGAATATTGAGTAAATGTAAATATATAATGCTATGTAATGAACATTGATAGCCATTTTGTGTTGATTTCAATAACTTGTTTACATAAAGCTATGTGCCAATTACTCAATAGAGCGTATAATTCGTCCGCACTATAATTAATGGGAAGGTGATTAAACAACTTCTTGTATGTTCGTGAGATGTTCTGTCAATTCAAGTTGTTTCACAAAATTGATTACTTGATATTGTACGTTGTATTCTAAGTTCATGATATGCGAAAAGCAAGACAAAAAATATTACTTTGAAATCAGATCCAAACCTTCAGATGAGGAATATGACTAGCGAATAGTAAGAAAATATGTAAAAAAGGGAAGAGCCTACATTACAACTTGTTGCTTTTATAATTATAGTAATAAATTGATTGGTGGGTTTATATTTAATATTTAACTGCTTACAGAAGGGTAAGAAAAAAAATCAATGATGTATATGTTATCATATTTATTATCCAAGATCTTGGGATCTCCCAAATAAATTTTCAATCTCATAGTCCTATCTCTGATAGGACAGACAGGGTGAAAATTGTTACCTAGTTTTTTATAATGCTAGGAATTTATATAAGTTGCACATTTTTCTGCAAGCCAGTCTCCAATTTTCAAAGTCAATCCAAATAAATGGTTTCCATATTTAGAAAAATATGACAAAATATACAGGGTTCGGATCAATATCTTTGGTTATCTGTCTACGAAGATCATTGTTAGAGAAGATTTGGAAATTGACAAGCTCCAAGAATGTTTGGAAGGAAAACATTTACAAAGATTGTTAATTGTACTAGCTAGCTACATGTGGCTAACTAACAGCAATCTCCTTACATCCTGTATAGCGAATATAGCTTTAAAAGTTTGCCCGATGTACATATGAGCGAAAGAAAGGTTTGCGTGAGTATGAAGTGTGTGTAGTGTGTTTGAAGAATTGTTAATATAAAATATCAGTATTTATTATATTTGGTTTTCGTGAAACATGATAGCGCGACAGAATATCGACAATTGATTGATGCGGGGCATTTTCAATGTGTTGTAAATATTAAGCGTACATAAATAGTAACCCAGGGCTTCAGAAACTTCATGGTTCTTACCGAAAGCAGGCTGTTCACTTCAAGACATTTGTGAAAGACATTAATATTGATCTGTGATGTTGAAGAAAGTTTGTATGTTCCTTGGAAAGAATTTGATTTCTCATCTTTCACCAATATTCTGAATTCTCAGAATGTCATTCGTAACAGTAATTGGTTTGTGATTTATGAGCCTGCTCATAAATTTTGCGGTCCCTAGAGTGAACAGTCTGTCCAAAAAAAGCTATTTTAGATGTGCCCATCTGACAGGCCTGCACTGTTATATACATATACATAATTATAAATAGTTTAGGCGCAATAGGACATTTCGCAGTTCGTCAACCGGTGCCATATTCACCAACACGTTTGAAACTAGATAGAAAAATGTTTAAATAAATAGTTATAATGGTGTCGAGGTTGGAAATTTTTGTACGGTTTTCTTACTTCGAACACGAAGGGTGTGTTGACTAGTGGATTGTAGTGTTTTGTCGTTGTGGAATTTATTCGAGACCGAGTAATAGAGCTGAGGGGGTTATATTAGATTGAGGTGTACTCCATGGATTTTTTGTATATGACTAATAGCCTTCATCGAAAAGTGATTATTTTTTTAAAACTGGTTTATTGACTGAACTTTTTTCGGAATCGTTCTCAAATGAAGTTTTGAACCTAGATATCAATGTCTCTCAAGTTCTAATACTTGGTATTCTGATATGGAATTGTTTGTGTTGTAATGTGATTTTTGAATTTGTTGGTTGAGTTTCGTATTTTCATTCATTGTACAAAAAGTTATAACAGGCAACTATGGGTAGAAAATAAAAAAAATGAGGTGGACCTTACTTGGTTTCGATTCGACTGAAGTCTGTGTATATCATATTTGTAATATATTGTCCTTTTTCTATAATACTAATTCTACTGTTAAGATAGCTTAAGAATATTCATGTCAGGCTTCATAGATCTACTGACGAGGTCTTTTAGTATATAGGTAGCACTGTACTGTACTATGTACATTATATAAAAAATATATGGCTAAATATTTGACTGTTGTTTTTTTTTAATTCGTAAAATGAAGTTTTCATACCTGGATGAAAAATTCAAGGAAGTGATCATGCAAGAAAACCAATTCACTACGCCACTGGTATATTGGTGAATTATAGAAAACAATCATCTTGGAAGAAACTTCAGCTTTGTACGTTGACGTATGGAATCATAGAACGTCAGATTTATCTGAGCTGCCCACAGAACTAAAACCTAGCTGTGGCAGTTTTAAGAGTATTTCTGAAAACAGCATAATAATTTATTCTCATCAAAAACAATTTGTTTTCTATTGATAAATTCTTGATTTGCTAATTATTTTGTAGTTCATAATAAATCTGAAATATTATTGAGTTACCAGAAATAACGATAATCACAATTTTTCACTTCACTGCCTCTTCATTGACTACGATTACTCGCCCAGTGCTTTTAATAAGTGCGTAACCCTCTCATAAACGAATTCAATAACCTCACTCCGAGGCTTCAAATATGACTGACACTTTTTTTTAAATAAATTGATATATTTAATGTAAAGTTCGTGTTCATCAGACTTTTAAAACACTTTTATTCGGAGTTGTCTAAATCTAATAATTCGAATTCAAGGTCAAACTCGAGGAAGACAGCTAATTCAAATAGGCCCCAGAAAATACAAACCTTCCCAGAAGTTTAAAAAATAGCAGTAGAGGAATAGAAATTTGAACTCTGAATACTGTTTAACAACTTTGTTTTTTTTATTTGTATACTCTGAGATAATTTTGTTCTTCAAAAAAATATAACATATTTCTGCATCAACTGATGCATTCGGTTTTTACTGTTTTTCTGATAGACGCACTTATTTATGATGCACTGTTTGGAACCTTTGGTGTAGTAATGAATATTACTGGAGTTCTTCAAGAGGAACATTAATCTTCCTCTGAAGATGATCACTTGGTGATCGAAACACGTGCTGAGGTGTTAAAAATAACTATTTGGTGTTGGGAAAAAACTCTAGTAATATTCAGACGCACTTATTGTTAGAACGCGACTCTCTTCTACCTGTCAGCCACGTGTAACGTCACAACCCAGTTGTCGGGTTTCGAGTTGTGTTGTCATATCTGTCATTTCTTTTTATTTTCTAAAGAACCAATCATCGGCGGACCACTGGTAAATGGGTAACCTCTCGATTAGTGTGTGCGTGTCATGAATTTGATTGTCAAAAATGGTTCAAGCCGGTGCAAAGAAATCGACAATTCCCAAAGTAAATAGTAAAGCAGGAATTAACAGTCTCATAATATTCGTGGTTCTCCTTTTGGCATGGATTGCTGGATTCTCGTCGCGTCTGTTTGCAGTTATTAGGTTCGAGAGTATCATTCATGAATTCGATCCATGGTATGTGAATACGACTAGGAGTATCTGTAATTTAATTATACCGTTTTCGATGTTTCAGGTTCAACTACAGAGCCACGGCATATATGGTAAAACATGGGTTCTACAATTTTTTGAATTGGTTTGACGAGCGGGCATGGTACCCCTTGGGAAGAATAGTGGGGGGCACGGTCTACCCAGGCTTGATGTTGACATCAGGCAGCATACATTATTTGCTGCATTTGCTTCATATTAATGTGCACATACGTGATATATGTGTGTTTCTAGCTCCAGTGTTCAGGTATGCTTATTAATTTTTTGATAAAATAAACAATATTAACTACCTTCCTAATGGAAGTTAACTATTTTATCTTTAACAGGTTATTGTGGTCATATACCACTTCCTTAGATGTTTTGTGTGTAGGTAAATGCACACTTTATGACCTGAAGATAGTTACTATTCTGGTCCAAAAATTTCTACAAGACAATGTCTGAAAAACATTTTGTTAACAGCTTTATTTTGCAAGTTCATAATCATCTGTACACTGTAGTCAAGAATCTGAAGTTGTCAAAGTTTTTGTAACACAAAAAATAGCTAATGTGTGTTGGGAAATTTGAATTTCAATGAGAGCCGTGGAGAATATTTCAGGAAAGAAAGCATTTCAACAATAACATCAGTCTATATACTGTGTTTGTGTTGTTTTGGTTGGGTTACTGGTTTTGCTGTGGTCTTTGGTTATAATCTCCAAGAGTTTCAACCGCAACTGTGGCAGTCACCTTCAGTGGCGTGGTCGAAGTACTCTTCTTAATGTGACAACTGAAACTGTCCATATCTTTGCTATTTTTTACTTGATCTTCAAAAATGAATCTGTTCTCAGTAAAACCCATGAAGATAATTACTTCACAAGACATAAAACACTGCTGTAGGCACTGTGTATGTCAAAAGTCTGTTGAATATTGGCTTTGAAATATTTAATAAAATATCCCTCGAATAGAGAATATAATTAGATTTAGTGAAATAAGTATAAGAACAATAGTGCTAAGGTGATTCTTTATGTGATCTATGTGCGTTCCCTATAAAACCACTATACACCACAAATGGTCTTTAACGACTTTATTACTTGACATCAACAAACGCATTTCCCATAATGTTGACCAACCATTTACTGAGACCTTGAAGCATAGTTCAAAATAAAATAAGTTTGTGTTAAATTATTTGACATAGACCACGTTTACACAGCATATTTAAGGATTTCTAACAACCGATGTTACTTAAGCACTATTTTCGTTAAACATTATGAAAGTGTTTATTTTTGTTTTGCTTTTAGCGTTTTACTTTTGACTAGTCCAATAAGTTTTCTCACGTATTTAGTCTTGTAATTATGTATGTGTGAAAATTTTAGTGATGAATAAAACTATTTCTATTTCTACTGATACTTTTGGTAAGCGCATTGGTGTAAAAACCGGATTTATTGAGTCGTGTAAACACTGACTTTAAGAGATGTAATAATTCAGTGAATTAAAAATTTCATTATGAAGATGAAGTTCTTGGTGACATTAATCGAAGGAGATTACTTCCTAGATCTCATACACATTCTATTAATGTAAGGGACAAGGGCTTACTCACGATGCCACATCATTCGACAGCTACTTTCCAGAGGAGCTCTACCTATACTGCTATCAAACATTTCAATTCTATCCCTATTCAGTACAGGGACTCAAATTTGAGAGCATTTAAAAAATTTATCTGCACAGTGAATAATGTAGGTAAATGTTGGTCGAACAAACTTAGTAATGTCTGATTTTTTAATTAGTATATTTTCAATTTTGTAATTTATAGGGCCATATGGTATTATCAACTCTAGATGAGCATCAGGGGGTTAGATGTAAGAGTAGCCGAAGGCTAAATCTCGCATCGTGATGTTCAAGCAAGAAAGAGATTTTCCTGCATTATTTCTTCGAATTATGTAATAATTTGTAATCTCTACATAATAAAGACGATATTATTATTATTAAGTATCAGTTTTTTCAGGCATTGTTACGTAAATAACTACAATGGAATAAGTTGTTACTCCATTTTTTGATAAAAACATTTTTCTTTTCCAAACCATCAGTAAATTATATCGATGAACATAATTTGTAATGAACTCCTGAAGTGCTGTGTAAACAAGAACGTGTAATCTTATCTATCATTCCACATTGAATATTGATGAATGTTTTAGTTACCAAAATCCATGAAATCTCACCTTTCAGCAGACGAGGATAGCTTAATTTTGGAGTATTCTCATAGATATATACTTTTTTATGTTGATTTCAAACCATTTGAATATTCTTTCATGAATAATTTTTATTGCAATCAAAATTCTCAAAAACTCATTTAAAAATATTGCTATTCGAGTTCAAGCTAATTTTATTTATTGTTTTAATTTTCACTCTATGCTCAGCTCTGACAGTAAAAACTGAAACAAATCAAAATGAGTCTAACGACTGTTTCAGGTGGAGAAACATTTTAGGAAACTAAATAAATCTTCCAAGTTCCTTTGGCAATCAAAGAAAATTATTGCAACACATTGAGATGTTTGGTGTTTATATTGATGACATTTTGATAGACAATCTCTCTTATGTTACAATAGTTCCCAACAAAAAATTTAATCCTGAAGCTCTAATAATGTACTGTGTCTATTCTGCTCTACGATTCACAATAATCATTGTGGATCTATCTACAATTATCCATCTATAAGTCTGGTAACTTCGTGTTAAAATCTCAATTTTCAGTGGACTGACCGCTATATCGACCTACTTCCTGACGAAAGAGCTGTGGTCAGCTGGAGCCGGTCTTTTTGCAGCCTGTTTTATTGCCATCGTGCCTGGTTATATAAGTCGATCTGTCGCCGGAAGTTATGACAATGAGGGCATCGCCATATTCGCCTTACAATTCACCTACTTCCTCTGGATCAAATCCGTCAAAACAGGATCGGTCTTTTGGTCGGTTGCGGCCTCTCTATCCTACTTTTACATGGTAAGTCCTCGGACCATCTTATGTAGTCCATGAGATGAATTCTCTTTTATTTCTCATAGGTATCTGCATGGGGTGGATACGTCTTCATCATCAACCTGATTCCCCTGCATGTTTTCGTCCTGTTGTTGATGGGAAGATTTTCCAATAGACTCTTTACAAGTTACACAACTTTCTACATATTGGGCCTGATATTTTCTATGCAAATACCCTTCGTTGGGTTCCAGCCCATTCGTACTAGCGAACATATGGCAGCTGGCGGTAATTAGAATACTTTCACGAATGTAACTGCATTATAAAATTGTCTATTATTATTTTTCCAGGTGTTTTCGCACTATTGTTTGCCGTTGCTGTTTTGAAATACCTTCAGTCGATGATGTCAAAATCAGAATTCAAATCTTTGGTTATTTTTGGAGGTCTCGCATCTGCTGCTTTGGTATTTTCGACAGTGGTACTCCTTACCTATGCTGGATATGTAGCGCCTTGGAGTGGAAGGTAAGTCGCCCAACTGAGAGCCAGTCTGCAAATTAGCAAAATTATCTATAGTTATCAAATTATATTTGTTTTGCCTTTCTGTTGGTTATATTTCTATTTGAAATGATTCTGTCAACCCCTATCTCTTGTTTGTTTCCACTCGCCCTATAGGCTATTTTTCTTCAGCTTTCCTTTCTTTATTTTATTCAAATATTATTCAACTTTTGCCTTTTTACATTTAATTCTATTTTGCTTATACACGTTTTCTATTTCTAATCCGTTTTATCTTACTCTTACTTCAGATTTTTCTCATTCCTTCCAAATTCATTTATTTTATCTTCTATTTATTGCAGTTATACTAATTTTTATAACTTTTGCCTTCTACCTTTCATTTCCATCTTTCTTACCTATTACTTTGTCTCTATGCTATCTTGCTCCTTTACCACTATTTTTTTTCTAAAATACCCATTTTTCTTGTATGCTTCTCTTCTATCTTTTCTCCCCTCATATTTTTTCCATTTATCTACTTCTGGCTTCTTATTTTCCCATGTTCTTGCTTCATAATTTATACTTCAATACATGCCAATTTTCCTCCTCGTTTAGCCTGATTTTCATTTCAATGCTTGCCATTGTATTGCTATTTATTTTTAATTTATTTTTGCTGGATTTTGTCTCAAACTTAGTAATCTGATATAGGTCAAAATCTCTGCTATTCATCTCATCATTTCCTATTTTTTCCAATGTACCTTACCACTTCATGTCTTATCCGACATATCTTCCATGTATTTTTTGCCATCTTTCCTCCTATTTTCCCCATCATTTTCAATTCTTCATCTTTTTTATCTTGTGTTCTCTTTTTTCATTCCATCTTTGTTTTTCTGCTCCTTAATCTATTTAAATCATCTTTTCACTCACAATCCATAACATTCACTTTCTCATCCTTTGAATTTATCACATCTCCCCTCTCTGTATATTCTTCTTTATCAATTTTTTTTAACTGTTTTTCTCGTACACTCACAAAATTTTCTTCATGTTTTCAATACTTGAGGATTGTGGTTTTTCCACGCTTTATTTTCCTTTCCTTCTCCTTTTTTTTTATTGATTTCACTCTTCTTGTATTACGTTTTTTTCTCTAATCGTTTTCCTTTCTATCTACATTTGTTAATAACAGTTTACGGCAGCAAATATTGTTCTGTCTGACTTGCTGTTATGTTTATCTGGTATTTTCTATTCATTTTTTACTTTTCGTATGTTGTCTATCTCTATTTTTATTTTTTTAGTGCTGTATACATTGTGGAATTGAGTAATGAGCACCTGTTATTGAATAAATCTTAGCTGTTCTGTTTTCTTTCAGATTCTACTCTTTGTGGGATACCGGTTACGCTAAAATTCACATACCTATCATCGCTTCAGTCTCCGAGCATCAACCTACCACTTGGTTCTCGTTTTTCTTTGACTTACACATATTGGTGGCCACTTTCCCAGCCGGTTTGTGGTACACCATCAAGAACATCAATGATGAAAGGGTTTTTGGTGAGTAATATCAATAATTTCACGCATGCTGTGTCAAAACTATTTTCCGGGTTTGTTGGCAGTATTATAGGTACCTGATGTTTCGACTACAACTGCGGTAGACATCAAAGATGATGAGAGAACAAAGTGCTCTAGTTATTTTCACAGCACATACTACCTCATTGGTCTGATATTGAAGAAGTTGAAGTATTTTTTAAAAACCATAGACTGATGAGATGTAATTTTTCATCGAGACATCAGGAGTGATATTAATTTGAAGTTAATGGATGTATACAAATATTTTCTGATCCTCAGGCTAACTTGTATCACGTTAAGCTGTAATGGGGAATGTTCCTCAATTTGGGTTGTTACGGCAAATGCAAGTTTGAACAAAATAAAGTTGAGTTCAATTCATGAGTTTTTCAAATTCACTTCGAAAAGTATTCAAATTGATGTTACAAATGTTGGGTTTTAATTTATAAAGGGATTTTTTTCTAATTCACATATTGGCAACAGTGCCTATATCAAGTTGAAATAATTTATACGTACCTAGATATTCTACTTTAAAACAGGAAAATTATCTTTATAAATCAAAAATTAAGGCAAAATATAAATCATAGTTCAATACCACCACCACAAGCCACATAAAAAACAGTTGTTTTGTCATTTATTTATATAGAGGAAGATAGGTTAGGTGCATAAAATGTCATATGTCACAGAATTACTCGGAACATAAGTAAACAGAACAGCACGCCTCTGAGATATGTCATCTTTGTTTGTCTCATACAGGTAACAGATTCATTGTCCTTTATTAGCTATAACCGAATCAGGAGGAACATTCCCCCATTCCTTTGAATTTAGACAACTAAAATTATCTAATATGTCAATTACAATAAATGAACTAGAATTCATGGACATAGCTGAACACAAGTATTATTACTTCCATTCGTGGTGAATACAAATGAATCATCTCTTAAAATGAGTCAGAGTCAGAAATGATCCATTGTTATATAAGTTCAGGTTTTGCTGACAAAGCAGGCTCAATAACTAAAACAATCTGAAATCCAACATAAGTAAAGGTCAAAAATTAACACAAAATATATATATGACTCAAGCACTCTTCAAAAAGTCTATGATAAAAATTTTATAAGTTGCAGTTATAAGTTGCGAAGTCGTTCGAAATAAATTCCTCAGTATTATAGTAAGCTTTACGTAGCAGAGGTTTTTTACTCTTTTACGAAACTGTGTGCAGTAGGCAGTGGCGTAGCGTAGTGTATACATTAGGTTTTATTTTGTTTTTAACTCTAACAAGTACCTACTTATATTGTTTTTCAAAAAGATGTAAATATTACTTAATAGTATCATCCTAGTTCTAATTAAAAATTGATTTTCGATTTATATTCAATTCTCTAATTATTTAATCATGTCGATTAAATGATACATGTTATATCAATGGTTGAAGTGAGAATTTTTGTAGTAATAAACATTGTGCTAGTGTTATTATTACACTCAGTGATATGTATATTAGGTTTCCTATTTCAAATAAAGATATATTATTATTAGTCACCTATAATGCAAAATAATGATGACTATTCTTGTCGAAAAGTTTTCTAGAATTAATTTATGTAATGTATAGTATACATTAAATTGAAATACCTAATTAAGAGGGCGGCAAAATTGTCTTCCGCCCCGGGCAGCCGATACCCACGCTACGCCACTGGCAGCAGGTTAACTTTCTGATCAAATGGGTAATATTATTGAAATATTCGAGTTTTTAATTTGTGCTGTTGACACAATAGGAAGAGGAATATTGAATGTGAGACGAGTAGCTTACCTTTGAGTTGAGTTTGAGATGTCATCTTTGTGCTTTTTATGCATTAGGCAGACTGTTTCTGAAATAAAGAGGCAGTAGACTGACCAACCTATATGCTGACATCCTCAGCAGCTTCTCTAATTGTGATTCGAAGATTTTCCATAACAATTTCCTTCGCTTTCTCAACATTTTCATCGGTTGTTGATGTTCTGGGGCGTCTAGAGAGAGCGTCGTCATTTACATTTTCTCGATCTTCTGTGAAAAGCTGGTACCATTTGTTAACGTTAACGTCAAATTGTTTCCGTATGCCACTGTCATCATCTTGAGTGTTTTTGAGCACTTGATTTCATTTATTACACAAAATTCAATGCAAATTTTTTTATATTGTATAAAAGACTTGGACGAGTTCAGTGAATTACCAAATGAAATCAGAGTCGAATACCATATATGAGTTCGAATGAAATAACGATTTTTTCAGTATATATCGAAACATTTCTTCCTCTGAGAGATAATCAGTTTTGTTTTCCAGTGGTTCTTTATGCTCTGAGTGCTGTATATTTTGCTGGGGTCATGGTCCGACTGATGCTAACGCTCACTCCTGTCGTGTGCATGTTGAGCGGCATCGCTTTCTCTGGTCTGTTGGAAGTATTTCTGAGGGAAGACGACAGCGCTCGTAATGAAGAGAGCGAGGAGGAAGAGCAGAGCACTCCCAGCAAGAGGCTCTACGATAAGGTGAGTGCTTTTAAATGTGAAAGTGTTTGGTTACGTTCACTATTTTTTACAAGGAACACTGGCTCGCTGCATGTAGTCCGATTGTCAAAAACTGTTGTTTCGATTGGTGAACCGTACAAAAATAGGTCGATATTGAATACAGTCCCTTTCACAACGGTTTTTCTTTCTTTACAACTTGTGTTGAATTGATATCAATCTCGTGGTTAGGTTTTGAAATGACATGTTCAATTGCTTTTTCTTTGTCTACCTTTAAATAATCATACTCGATCAATTTTTTTAAATATTGTTTGTTTACTCTTTTTGGCGAATACTTTTTCTGCACACGAAAAATGTTTTCACTCATTTCTTCTAAAAAATAATTTATATATTCCCAAATTCATAATTGAAGTTCAATCTGATCCGTTTGAATTTTACGTCACAACTTTCTGATTGGATATCTGAAATATGTGATGAAAACCCATAACTGATTCCAGTAACACTTGAAAATGCTTGAGGAAGCTTTTGTATAGCAAAACACTTGTTGCGGTTTTGTGAACTGTCCAGTGAGAATCTTACAATAAAGTGTGAGTTGAATGGATATCTGAAATCTGGTACTTTTACAACATATCACCGTAAGTAAACCATTATGTCAGTAAATAATCCCTTAAAAAAATTATACCACTAAAATACACTCAAAAATGAGCATTATAACAACACTCTCCAACACAAAGGTACAATTAATAAGATACCAAATAGGAATGACTGAATTTAACCCAGTATTGCCAAACTGGGAATACAACCTACGGAAATTATCACGTCTCATAGTCACTACAGAATTTGAAGCTCCTCTGATTCAAAAGTGCATACAAGTATTTACACTTGCTGATAGGCTAAAGGAACAGACTAATAGTGCTTTTTGTCGTCACACATGTTTTTGTCTGAACTATCACTTTCTTATGCTAAACAGAATTATTTTTTCTGATGAAATTTATGTATGTGGCTTATTGCTCCAAAGATTCAGGGTTTTTTTATATTTTTTTTTTATTTTCTTGATCTCTCATCTCTTTTGTTTTATACTTGGCAAAGGTGAAGAAAGAACCTAAAGCAAAATCTGGAAAATCTATAGGCGGATCTAAGATACCTGCTCCTAATGCGGTATGTGTCGAATGATGTTTTTGCTTGTGTCAATAATGGTATGCCAAAATGCTACTAACCAAGTTGATTTGAAAAATGCCCCAACTGCTTTCCTAACAACAATTCAGATTCATAATAAATGTTGGTGTTCCTAAATGGCGGTCTAAGGCACATTCGAGGAACAATACCACTGCTATGTTCTTTTTAGGGGTTGGCGGTCTGAGCTTTAGCTTTGCTTACCGTTTAGCATTTGGAGGGGTTTTCAATCAAAAGTTTTAAATTGGTAGCTTTGTACATATCCCTTTTTGCTATGAATTTTGTTAGATTTTTTTTTAAACCACAGTGCTCTTCGATTTTTTAATAAGTTAAAGTCAAAATGCTGCAGTCTCAAATATCGAGTTAGATGTAGCTTTTTGAACCTCCAACTATCTGATAATGATATATTTTCACTTATATTATGTATGACTATATTGTTACATTATGACTATATTATGTATTGTACCTGGGAGTTCACTAAAATTTTTGTTGTACAGAAAAAACTAATGAGATTGATATTTGATTTATTTATTCACCTTAGCAGACCACATAGGTCTAATTACAAGGATGACCTTATTACATACAATATAATAGATACAATATAATACACT